ATCAGTATACACCTCTGCGGATCAATGTACATCTTTGCGGATCAATGTACACCTCTACGGATTAATTATAAAAGTTATAGACGTATTTTAATGGGTTTTTGTGAGTTTGTGAGTTTCAATTACCAATAGAAGTTTTTTCATTGTGTTTGTAGAGAGTGATTAGTATATACAAAACAGTAAAAATACATGGAAACATACATCAGTAACAAACATATTACATAAAACATTTCATTATTTTTAACTTTTTTTTTTGTCAATTTTTTTACATAATAATCACATAAAGTATTAGTGTATTTAAAAAAATTAATATTAATAAACAAAAAAGAACGCAAAAAAAAAAAAACAAAAAAAATTAAAAAAAAAATCAAAAAACAAAGATTTCACAGAGTTGTAGATGATCCGCAAAGACTTTAATGAAGTTTATTTCAAAATATGTTAATTATGAAGTTTGTATGTTTATGTTTTCTAAAGTATATTTTTTAACCTACTTAAAGTATGTTTATTATTTAGAATACCGATGTGTGTAATTTTATTAAAAAAAAAACAAGAATATTTGTATAATTTTTATTAAACACACAACTTTTATAAACGGGTAATTAAATAAGAAAAATGAAAAATAAAAACAGATTTTTTTACATAATAATCACATAATACCTTGTGTGATTAAAAATATATATTAATAAACGAAAAAAAAAAAAACAGAAAACAGAAAACGAAAAACGAAAAAAATGAAAAAAAAACTGAGATCCGCAGAGGTGTTTACGATTCCACAAAACCCCCTCTGCGGAACTTGTGGTCATTTTTTGAAATCTTCATTTTTTTGGTCATTTTCTTCTAACTCACCCTACATTTTAGTCATTTGACGAATTTAATCTCTCTCTCTCTCTCTCTCTCTCTCTCTCTCTATATATATATATATATATATATATATATATATATATATATATATATATATATATATATATATATATATATATATATATATATATAAAGAATGATCATCCTTAGAAATAGTAAAGTTCCTAAGGTTTTAGCAAAACTAGTCATTTGTTTATGGGTATGCGTTCTCTTCTGGCTTTGTTGCTGTCGATTTTTGTGTGGAGCATTTTATGTCATTTTCTCAATTCTTTATGGACACGTGTTCCTCAACCACGGCTAGTTTCTGACAGAATTCCATACGTGCTTCCTCCTTTTGTTTCTTCTGCCTACTCCCACCACTTGTTGCCAATTAGGTATGGACAACAGATAATCCATCATCGCGTAAAGTCGTCGATAACCTCATCTTCACCGTCATGTAGCAATTCTATTTTTTTATTTTAATTTGCACCCACCCATCCACCGCCTCAAAAGTCTCCACCGGCTCACTTACAGTTACTAAATCGATTGTCTCCACTTCTTTCTTCTCACTCCCTCTTCTCTATCATCGACTCCATTTTCCTCCACAATGTTCCCTTTCCTTTGAGAATCGTCGCTCTTTTTAGGGTTTGCAAAGTAATCGTCGCACTGATATGCCTCCTTCAGCCTCTCCATCGCCATCATCTACCAATTTTGGCCTATGTGATGTTGCAATTTAGGATTTTTCACCAAACGGAAAATCGGTTCCATAGATGGGTTGCGATGCAGTGGATGTTTCTACCGAAAAAGTTTCAAAAACCGCCTAACCAACATCGCAGGTTTCTAGGAACCCTCTCCGTGTTCCCTATTAACGACGACCACCTTCCTGTATACGCTTTCCGTTCAATTTGTTCTAAGAAATCTGTCTAACCAATTTAGGTATCTTTCTCTCTACTTTTTTATTTCTCCTTAGCTTCAATAGAAATTTTGTCATTTGATAAAATGCATAGTTGAAATCTAGGTATTTGTAACTGGAAGATAAAATATTATTTATGTGTTGTAGTAACTTGTGCTTAACTTTAGGAGATGTTTAATTTGCAGGAAATCACACCCTCTTCTGTTGTGATTGGTGATGTGGGGATATCTTGCTTTACTGACTATCATCATCAATGATCTTAAAGTAATCTTCAGGTTTGATTCAGTGGTTCACAAGGATGGATGATAAGTTGATATAATCTAACCATATGGAATAGTCGGTCTAAGGTTAACATGGACTTGGGATACTTATAACCCGTAACTTTATAAATCTAAAATCGTATGAACTTGGTTATGTTGTAAGGAAGACTTGTGAGAGGTGCAGTTGAGTTCAATATCATATGCATCCATGTCTTTCAACATTCCCATCAAATAATTTTTACCAAGGTACCCTTCAAGATGGAGTGACCATAAACGAAAGACAACCAACATGCTTTGATTCTCCATGTTCTATCCCAAATCACCTTCATGTTTTTTTATGTCTACGTATGTGTTACATGTGCAAAATGATCTTAATGTTCTTTTATGTTACATGAGCTCACTAATAAAATACAATGATAATAATTAATTGTTACCAATACAATAAGTAATTTGGGATATTAAATAAAACAAATAAATTTGTAAAAATAATTAAGTTTTGAGGATTAAATAGAACTAAAAGAATAAAGTTGAACAATTAAGAAAATTAAATATAAAAAACATAAAACTCACAAAAAAAGCATTTAATAATATTAACCTATGTAAATTGTCACTCTGTTTTGGTTGTCAATTTGTATCCACCATAGGAATTCGATTATCCACACCTTTTGTAGAGCGTGTCATTTAAAGTATGCAAGAAGAACTAATAGAATCTATATTTATTTTAATATTAGAAAGTATGAAGTTTGGTTCTTTATAAACGAAAATTGACTATTCTAGATTGACAAACTATTTTGCATTATTCTCAACTTTTATATATATATATATATATATATATATATATATATATATATATATATATATATATATATGATGGAAAAAGAAAGAAACTTCTCTCTCTAAAATTCATTCTACCACAGGTAACCAAAATGTTCATTTAGAGATATATTATGTCATCTTTATAAAACAAAAAAAAATAGCAAAAAGTTAATGAAGGGTAGTTTAGTTATTTTTGTTAGAGTAAATTACACGAATGGTTCTTATGGTTTGGGGTAATTTACGTACTTGGTCCCTATTATTTGTTTTTGTTACGCATTTGGTCCTTACTTTTTTTTTGTTACGGTCTTGATCCTTATCTTACCTAAAAAAATTATTATTTAAATAGGCAAAAGTGGTAGGATAGGCAATGTAAGGTTATAGGGATGGGTTGAGAGAGTGTTTATTTAAATAAATTAAAAAATGAAGGTAAAAATAATCTTTTTAGATAAGACGGTGACCAAACGCGTAACAAAAACAAACAGTATGGATCTTCCGAGTTAAAAAAAAAAAATTAGGGACTAAACACGTAAATTACCCTAAACAATAGGGACCATTTGTATAATTTACACCTTTTGTTATTATTGGTATGTTATCTTTCTTCTATCAATGATGTCTAACTCTTTTTCTTCTAGATTTAAGGAAAAAGATGTTCATGTTATAGTTTTGGTGACCATTCTAACCAAGCTAATTAATTTCTGCTACCAAGAATTTCACCTCAACATATCAAAGAATTGGACAACATAAAGTTGCACAAACATTGTTGCAATTCAGTCAATCTTCGTTGTACTAAAACAGCTTAAAGGTAGATAAGTTTTTATCTATAGAGAGTGAAGCAAATGAGTTTTTATATAATTACAACCTCTTATCAAGTTCAATTAGCTTTTAATTTGAAATTTATGTAACTCTACATCAATGTTGAAATTCGAATGCATTATTTGATCGACACTATAATCAAATACGTTATGTTTTTACAGTTAGTATCAGATCAAGATTACCATGAGATGGAAAGATAGTGACTTTACATCTTCTATGTTAACAAATTCATACCCCGCAAAGCTGGGTTTCTCATCTAGTTTATTTTTATGAAAGTATTACATATGATAAAAACATACTTTATAATGACGATCAAGACAACTATGCTCAGTTTTACATAGATAAGTTAGTTTATCTTTTGAGTTTATTGTGTTTTAGTTTTTTATGTTTATCCTAACTTTAAAACTAGCATTACAATAAACTATTTGAGATAGATCATTTATGGGTAAATGTCATTTTAGCACAACCAATTTTTTCCATTTGTTTTAAATAGTCATTGAATTTTTTTTTATGCATTCTAAGTCATTAAACTTTAATTTTAGAAGAGAATAGCTAGTTACAAGATGGTGTAGCCACACAGAATTGATTTTGCTTCAAAATTGGATTTTTAGCCGTCAAATAAACTATTTGAGACCGCTATTTACCGCGAACCTCATCAACGCTATAGTAGCGCTACACCCGCTTTTACAATTTCGTACATGTTTGGTTACTTTGACAAAGAAAAAAACGATTGTGTTATTTCAATATTAAATCCTTAGTTAACTAGTCCACTACACTTTTTGTCTTAATAAATCCAGATAATAAATATAATTAATTACAAATTACAAAACAACAAATGACAATTTTTTTTATTTGTTTCAGTAATTAGAAACCCCGAACGAATTGAGTTACTATGATATTTTGACATTTTTTTAGTTTTCATATTACTATATTAGAATATTATATGTAGATTATGTTATGCTTTTATAGGACCTTTTACAATAATAATTCTATATAGTCTTAATAATCTAATATATAAATTTTGTATAAATATATAATATAAATTATACATAATATTAAAAAACTGTTATATCACTACTAAACCACCACAATTTCATATAGCAGCATGTGGCATTTATCAAAATTTTGACCGTAATAACTACTTAGCCAAACATAACCTTAAAAAAATCAATTGCTAGATCAAAATTGGTTATTACGCAGTTATAGGTTATAAAACTCATGTTCATTCATTCGCCCATATAAGTTGGTTTTGTTGCAAGTTCACGCCATATATACTCTATATATCGATTGTTGTATTGTAAACCATGACCACAACTAATCACAATATATCAATGGTAACACCTGTTTCTCTACAGTTGACAGTCAAACCAATTTTATGTAATCCCTAAACTGTATTGTAACATCTTAATAAACAAAAACCATATCAAGTATTTAAACAAATAACTTCAAAAAAAAGGTAACAGAATAAGCATCTTTCTTCTACCCAAAACCAAAAAAAAACATCATCTTGACAAACCTTCAATAGCCCTCCGTTTCTATTTCTTTCATATTGGAATAGATACATGCCCCCTCTTCCACTCATCAATAGAAAAAAAAAAATAGATATACAGATAAAACCAAAACAAAGCATCATGCAAAGAGACTAAAAGCATGGTTGGTGGGACAAAAAAAATTGTAATTTTGTGCCTCTATCAGTTGGTATCAGTATTAGTATCATAGTCCAATGCATAGCAAACACAGTGATCAGTATCACAAGGGGTTGTCTTATTATGTTATACGACCTAATAGATGGTAAAAGGTGGATTAAATAGTGAACATTACAAAGTGTGAAAAGTGAAAAGGTTTTTAGGAATTTGGAAACATTGATTGATTCAAGGCACAGGTTGTTTGGAACTTAAGAAATCAAATCTTATGGATAAATATGACATCACTAGTAATATTTTTCATCTTCAAATGGTTCGGTTCAGTTCGGTTCAACTGGTCCTCTGGTTTTTAGGCTTCAGGCTTGGCTTCAAGTATGTGTCTCAGGCTCAGGCTCAGGCTCAGCTGTTTTATAGGGAATAATGGAAGAAAGGAAACAAAGGTTAAACTTAACCATATACATTTACTTTGGGTACTTTATTCCTATTTCCACTCTCTTTCTCTCTCTCTCTCACTAATCTAAAATTGGTATAAATAATAAATCAATCAGCCTTTGGAATTGGAAATTGGAAATGGGTTAAATTCGTAGACATGGAAAACAACAAAACTGATAAACCTAGTAATAAACAATAAATAAACTAAACGTCTATTTACTACATACTTGACTTCAACATAAATATACAATGGAACAATTAGAAGATAACATGTTATTTTTTTATTACTTTTACGCAAATGAGGCTTTTTTATTTTAATGGATTAATGGTTGTTCTGATTTGGCCTCTTACTGGTTTTGTAAGAAGCTGTGTGTGACTCATTCAACAAATATCAAACATCCCCTTAGTATTTATTACTTTTATGCTAATGTTTCAAACGGTAAATTACGTTTTTGGTCCTCCGTTTTTCACTTAAATGACTATTTTTGGTCCTCCAACTATAACTGTTTTTTGCAATTTTAGTCACAAAAATATAGTCATATTTTTGGAACAATGACCAAAAACATTTAATTAAGTCCTAAAACTTTTTTGGGACCAAAAACGTAATTTTTCTGTTTTTTTAATTTAGGTTAAATTACATTCATCATCCTTGTGGTTTATCCAAAGTTACAGTTACTGTCCCTAAAAGTAAATTTTTGCTCAAGATTGTCCTTTGGTATAACTTTGTTCTAGCTTTGATCCTAAACCAATATAAAATAACTCTTTTGCCCTAATTTTATATTATTTAACTTTTTTTATTATTTATTTACTTTTTATATTATTATTAGCTGGGAAAAATGGCGTAGTGGTTTTCAATGGAGGAGGTGAAGTAGTGGGTCTCCCTTGCCTTAATTATAATATAAAAAGCAAATGAGTAATAAAAAAAGTTTTAAAAAAAATCAGAAAAGGGCAAAACAGTCATTTTACATCAGTTATAGAGCAAAACTGAAACAAAAAAAAAAATGAAACCAAAGAACGATGATGAATATCATTTAGCCTTTAGTTGATTGATTATGTTTGATATTCCGAACTAAAAAAATTATGTATAAAAAAATATGAACTTTGTAATTTCTAAATTTTTTTTTTTAAATTCAAAAAATCAAGATCTTTACTCACCTTCAATAACCATAATCCCTCCGCCTAGAACTAGGGTTATTATCTCGCCTTGATAACCTGCCAACACAAAATTTATTTATTATAAATAATAATATTAAATAAATTTAAAAAAATAAAAATATTGTTTTATATTATATTATATACTTACCCAGAACTACCACTGCGACCTGAAGAATAGCTACCATACGCTCCATACGAATCACCACCACTTCGTCCCTAAAAAAACCATTAAATTAAATTAATTAGCATAACATGGTTTTAGTTTTATATATTTAAATACTTAATACCTGTAAGCTACCACCATAGCTTCCATATGCATCGCCAGGTGGCAAATCGGTAGATGCAGTATTATGATTATGATTACTATTATTATTATTATATCCACCAGAAGAATAAGAATGTCCTCTTCCATGATGATGAGCTTTTGAAGAATCTCTGCTTTCATACTTTCCAACATCAGCCACATCAGGTGCTACAGGTAGATATGGAAGAACTGGGACAAATGTCGATAATGCCCCTTCTCTTTCAAATAGATTTGCCCTTAACCTTGATGTCACTTGTAACAGTGCGTCCTTTGCGAGATCAAGATCTGCAGAAATCTGATAAAACCAAAAGGGGTAGTTTGGTAATTTCACATACAGTAAAAACTTTTGTACACAGTAGACAGTAGCACACAGCTTTACCTGTACCATCTCATCATCACGGTCTGCAACTTTTGGGAGATTCTCTTTGGAAAGTATTCGAATGTTTGCTTTTGTAATTCTTCTTATTTCTGTGATTATTGCTCCTCCTTTTCCAATAAGGCATCCGATTCGAGAAGTTGGAACAAGCAATCGGGTTGTGAATGAAATTAGACCCGAATCTCTCTCTACTCTCTCACTACACCTTGGTTGCAAACGTAATGCAGCTTCTATAGCTGGAGAAAACGCATCTTCAAATGCCTATAAATTAATTAAAGGGTAAAAAGGTCATTTTGCATGAGTCAGAAAATAAATACCGAAATGAAGATCAAAGTCGGGAACAACTTTGGGAAAATTTAATAAATCGGAATGAACTTGTACGTTTGAGTAAAGTACAGGGACCAAATGTGTAATTTAGTAAAATGTATGTGCTAATTTATTTATTTATTTTTAACTTATTCTTTTTCTTTAACCATGTGAAACCTTTTTTTCTTTTATGAATTATAATTTGAAACTTAAATGGGTCACCTGATAAACAAATCAGGTGGGAAAAAAGAAAATGGGTCAACCCGTTTATCCAACGGATCAAATTGGATTGAAAATCTCAACCCATTACATATAATAAAAAGCAACTAACCTATGAATAGTATACTTTTGGGTTTTAGACTTTGGCCACAATAGTTTCGTTTGTTGGCAAGTTTGGTCTCTTTAATTACAAAATGTATCCCTTTAATTTACAAAAAAGGTCCCTTAGCATTTTTTCACGTTTAGGTTTTAGACTTTGGCCATAATACTTTCGTATGTAGCAGCTTTGGTCCCTATGTAGAAAATAAACTCTCCCTATAATTTACAGAAAAGGTCCCTACACATTTTTATAATAGAATTTTTTCATGTGTTCAAATAGTATACTCTTTGGTACATGTGTTTAAAAAAAATTAGAAAAACAGTCCATGCCTGATAGAAAATTTACAAATTACACCCCCCACAATTCTGTGAAACACACGGACAATTTCTGTCTGCATAGGGTGATAGGGACCTTTTGTTTAAACTACAGAGACCATTTTGGTAAAAAGAACCTATTGGCAGGGACTATTTAGGTGTGTGTATATATATATATATATATATATATATATATATATAGAGAGAGAGAGAGAGAGAGAGAGAGAAATAGAATTACTACCTCTTTGGCTGAAATAGATATTATGCAATCATCTGCTTCAGTTGATGAATTATCAACTTTAATAGCTGCACCAGTTTCCTGTCTAATTTGATTAATTATAGCACCACCTTTTCCTATTACACCACCAATGTTTCCAGTTGGGCAAATCAAACGAAGATGAAACTCCCTTGGAGAAGAATCCTCACGTGGGCCCGGGTAAAACCCACGGGCCCATTCACCACCACTTTCACCCTTGTAACCCCCATATGCACCCACAAGTGGGGCCAACCCCATGATTGGTGCCCCCCCAGGTGTACCCCCCATGAGGGACCCACCAGAATGGTATGCATTAGCATTAGCATTAGGTGTGGAAGAAGACAGCAGGTGTTGAGATCTTGATGGGTTGTCATGGAGGCGTGTTGCTATTTGGAAGAGTGCTTTTCTTACTATAGATGCTTCCCCTGATATCTGTTTCATGATTAAATTTTCAGAATCAAGGACAGAATTGTCATTTTTAACTTACTAAATAAAGTGTAAAGAAATCGATGTAAATAAAATTGTTTCCTTTTGACTTGATGGGTTACGCTAAAAAACCTGTTTCATACACTTTTACATAGTTGTTAAGAATGGTGAGCTTTGTGAATAATGCAAGGGTAAGATGGTCATTTACCCTTACGGTTTAGTCTCATTCATACAGTTTATTAACTATATCCATCAATTCTCACGCTAAAGTTGATGAATATATTAAAAATGGTGGATTTTGTGACTATTGTAGGGGTAAAATGGTCATTTAGTCTCATTCATACAGTTTATTAACTATATTCATCAGTTTTCAAACTAAAATTGATGATTATAGTTGAGAATGGTGAACTCTGTGAATAATTTAAGGGTAAGATGGTCATTTAGTCTCATTCATACAGTTTAATAACTATATTCATCAATTCTCATGCTAAAATTGATGAATATAGTTGAGAATGGTGAACTTTGTGTGTACTGCAAGGATAAAATGGTCATTTAGTCTCATTCATACAGTTTATTGTCTATATTCATCAATTCTCATGCTAAAATTGATAAATACAGTTAAAAACGGCAAGTTTTGTGAATAATGTAAGGGTAAAATGGCCATTTAGTCTCATTCATACAGTTTATTAACCATATTCATCAATTCTCAAGCTACAATTGATGAATACAGTTGAGAATTGTAAACTTTGTGAACAATTGAAGGGTAAAATGGTCATTTAGTTTCATTGATATGGTTTATTAATTCTAGAAAAGAAAGACCTTACATATGCATGACTGATTCTTTTTTACTTAAGCTCAACACTCAACAGTATGTCTTAATTGATTAAGCCAAAAAAACATGGCTTAATGTATTAAGACACTAACCTTTTTGCTTATATGCCCTTCTTTTTCCTCCAACTCCTCTCACATTAAAACTAATGAAAAATGTGAAATTTGCTTTATAGAAGGTAAGGGTAAAATGGTCATTTTGTGATTTACCTGCACAAGTTCATCACTGCTTAACGCACAAGCAGGCAGGTGATTATCTTTCATGATCCGAATCTGAGCACCAGTATCAGTTCGTATAGTTTGAACAATCTGTCCACCTTTTCCAATAACACATCCAATTTGATCTGAAGGGACAAGAAGGCGAACTGTAACTTGTGGTGTTTCTTCAGGATCCATGTCATCCGCCAGGTCATCAGCAACAACTCTATCATACACTTTGAAAAGAGCATCCATTGCTGGACACACTCGTTCATCAGGATCATCAAAATCATTTGTCTCATCACTCGTGCTATGGATAGTCACCACACGTTCATCACACCCTGAAACTGTTTCCCCAATTCTGATCTTTGACTTGCTTTCGGATCTTAATTGCTTGATTATATCACCACCTCTTCCCATTATGCTTCCGATTCGCTTACTAGGACATAAGTAGCGATACACAGTGTCATCTGAACCAATAGAGTTTTGTCCTCCTCTATCATCACTGTTGTTACGCCTCTTGCTTCTTCCATGATCACTGTAATCAGATTGAGAATGTGAACGTTTTCCATGACTACTTCTTTGCCCAGCCATGTGGTGCAAAAATATGTACCTATTATAAGAAATCAGATCCATGAGCATGTTCATATTGAGGAAGCAGAAGTAGTGAAGAATAAGTAATTGGAAGTATAGAAAAGAAGGTATGAATGTGCTGCAAAACTGATTATCTTTGGGTTACTAGAGGATTGCAGCATTAATAATGAGCAGTTAAGAAGTTAATAAAAGAAATCTGATTAGTGAACTTATCCCTATCAAGCAATTATCTGATTTTGTGATTCTTTAAGCAACAATAATCAGATTGAACATGAGTACCATAAATGAAGAATGTTCCAAGCAATGAATTAATAAAACCGAAGGCCAAAAAGTGAAAAAGACAGACAAGATGATCGTTTCAAAGTCTTTGAGCTCTGGTCAAGATCTAGATCTGGAAACAGTAAATCGCCGGTAACATTTTTCAAATCTAAATGTAAAATATTACGAAGTACGAGGAAAACTAAGACAGGAATCATTGAAAACCACTACAAGATTCAACTTTTTTTCTCTAATCGGTCTGTAAACTAATCTAAAATATGTACTATTAACATTCGCGAAAATAAAAGCCTGAAAACATAAATTTAAATGTTTCATATGGTTCCTACACAAATCTAATAACTTGCAAGACAAAAAGGATTAGAATTTGATACCTCGTTTAGATTGCAGAGAGAATTGTGCAAATGGCGAGGTCAACTCGACGTTGTAGATTCAAGAGAGAGATGAACACCTTCTGTATTTTGGTATTCTAGGGTTTCAGACTATCGATCCAAAAGTCGTGCACGGAACATATAAAAATACACATAAACCGACCCCTAACAAATAAAACCCTTATTTTTTTTTTTAATAGGATAATTATTAGAAAACATTTAAGTTTCAAATTTGTTTAAAAAAAATATGATTTAAGTATTAAATATTCAAAAATCATCATCAAACCATAGTTGTCAAAATCGCGATCCTGATCGTAGGATCGTACGATCGTACGATCCTAGGTATGAAAAACGATCCGGATCGTAAAAGGATCGTATTTGGGGTAGGATCGCAGGTAAGATCGTAAGATCGTAGGTAGGATCGTAGGATCGAGATCCGATCCGATCCTACCTTCCTTTGATTTTTTTTTTTTTTTTTTTTTTTTTTTTTTTTGCAAATGAAATTTTTTTTACCACTTTATGCCTTTTATCCTTTACCAATCTACCATTTATCATTTTTTATTGTGATTTATGATTAATATTTTGAAGTTTTTATAACTTTTGAATGAAAAACTAAATGTTTGAAATAGTTTTCATGATTAAATATTATAAATTAAAATTATATTCTATTTTGTGGGATCTTAAGATCTCGATCCCGATCTTACGATCCCGATCTTGCAAACCCAAAATCGATCCTAGTTAGGATCCCGATCTTGACAACCTTGCATCAAACTAATAGTTCAAAAAACACCAGCAAAATATAATGTTCTCTTAAAAAAAACAATCATTTTTTTGGTTTGAGGTACTTACATGTTTAGTCTCTAAACTTTTTCCTTAACTCGAATAATCCTTGGTGTTTATATTTATTTTGTCTTTGAATCCCGATTAAATTAAAAAACTAATATATCTTTATTACTTTTATTTAACATTTATTTTTATTACTTGTATACAATTGATATATTAACAACAAACTATCTCATGTCAAACATGAAAATTTTTGAACAAATATGTGGTTCCTCTCGTATTTGCCAAAGTTTCCAAAAAATTGTCCATCTTGTCTTTTTTTCTATTTAAAAAGGGTGTTTTTACCTTTTTTTTAACTTATTCTAATATTTATATGTTGTTAATTTTTATAAACAAAAGACAAAAGATAAACATATAAATAAGTCTCTCTCTACTAGTAGTGAAATACACACCAACATTATATATATATATATATATATATATATATATATATATATATATATATATATATATATATATATATATATCACTACTAGTAGTTTTAAATTTATATTTGCACTTAATCATAGCTAGACTGCTACACAATTAGACAAGTGTATCTATTTGTTTGACAGTATACATATGATAAGAACGGGTTATCGAACACTTAGGGAACGGATATTATTCTAGATTAGAAATACCTACTACTGATTAAATTAAAAAGTATATTATAAAAGTGAAGGTTTTTTATTTTAACGTTTAGAAACTTCTAATATCAATTCAAATAACTAGCTAGCAAACGATTACTAAACTAAGCAAACAGAATAGAAAACAATGAAAATCACGATTAAATGAACACTTACGTTTAGATTCGAATCACTTCTTTCTTATGGTTGATTTCTTTAACATTGCAATGCATTATTTAGTTGGTTACCATATTATACAATTACTAGTTATCTTGGACAGATTTCTTAGTACTAGTAATTAATGAACAACTAACTTCAATGATAATGCAATTAGTGAACACATAATTAATTAAATTTAGTTGAACTATGAACAATATGATCTAGTGATTTCTTATCAAATGTCATGATAATCAATCTAAGCATGGCATGGGTTATCTAATACTCTCTAACACAGTCAAAATTAATTATCACTATCACCTAACCCTAGGATTAGATCAATCTCTAGTCCTAACATTTTAATGATCATGAATCAATTAAGATTCAAGTTAATGTAATCTGACTGGTCCTCTTAAATACACATAACTTGGTTATATGCAATAAAAATCATAACTTTAGCATGCACGGTGAACGATCAATCAAACACAAATATTAACCAAACTAAATAAATCCAATATCATCGAAATCAACACATAGTTTTGATCTACTCTAAACGAATGTTTAGGATTATTAGCCCATAACTAAAGCAAAAAAAAAAAAACGAATTAACACAAAGTAAATTGAATTAAACATATTTAAATCAAGAAAACAAAATGATTATTTGTTATTTGTAAGGGTTCTTTGGTGTGACACCTGAATTCCAAGTATGATCTATATTTCAAATTATGAAAATCCTAATGGCCATGGCGTGGTGAAGGGAACACCGCAACGTGGCATTTTGCCATAATCACATATCTCATTTAAGTTGGTTGCCACAGCGTGGAAATTTATTTTTGGAAAACGCTAATTTCTGGATTTTTTGCATTATTTAAGGGAATTAGTAGCTAGGATTTCCTCCACCCTCAGCCTCCATCACATCCCAAAGCACCTTTGATACACCCTAGCCTTCCTTTGAAGTTCTTGGCTCACTTTTATGTTTATGATCTTGGAAGGAATAAGAAGAAGTTTTACGCATAGATCTTCAAGCAACTCATTTCTCCTACTTGTGTGTATCTTCTGGACTCATTGTAAGTCCTCAAGTTTCCACATTTTTTTCTCTCCCCTCTTAGATCTAGGTTTTACTACATGTTTTGGCTCGTTTTTGGGTTTGGGTTGGTTAGATGAGATAAAGTTGGCAACTTTATAGTACACTTTAGTCCTTTAGTCACCATATCTTATGGATCAAGAAATTGTTTGAGTTTTGGATAATCTTGCATGAGTTTTAGGTCATTTTATCTTCATTTTGACCTAGTGGGATAAAGGACATGCACGTCTATAAATTTTGCATTTTTCTAAACCACTAAGTTCACAAGAAGCATTTTGGAAAGTTGGAATTGAAGGATTAACGGATTGATAGCTTAATCCATTAAGTTGTGTTTATGCAGCTTCCATATCGTGGTGATTGCTTGCCATGATGTGGAGACTAGTGTCACACCCCCAGACCAGAATGGCGGAAACGTCCGTAGGTGGGTGACTTCATTGTGTAGTATCGTAACAATTGTATATAACTGAAACATAGCAAATCCAAAAAACGTACATAAATATGACAAGCTTACATTGTTTTACATCATGTTTATGTTTTCAAGTGTACACAAAAGAAACATCAGTAAACAAATTTCCCAAAATGCAGCAAAATAAGCTTGAGTCCGCAATCCATAACCTGCTTATTGATTTCTTGAGAATACAAGTCGTTTGAAAAGCGTCAACATAAAATATGTTGGTGAGTTGTAACAGCCCGGAATTTCCAGGTATTTATTTTGGGTTTATTTATAGAAATTGTGAGTGGACTCGGCGAGTTGGAGCTCAAACTCGCCGAGTAGGATCGCGGTATTGGGCACGGGTTCGCGTCCGGACTCGACGAGTCCAAGAGTGGACTCGGCGAGTCCACGTTGTGTGGTGAAACCCTAATTTCCGGGGTTTGAGACCTATTTAAAGGGCTTTATGGCCGTCATTTGTGCTCACCCAACCCTTAGAGAGAAACCCTTGAGTGCTTGAACATTTTGAGAGAGAAAGGAGGCATTTCTTGACCTTGTGTGTGTCATTTAGCAAAGAAGGAGGAGATTCTAGGCAAGAGGAAGCAAAGAAGGTTGCTATTCTGTGGATTTGAAGCTTAGATCATTGATCTAGAGGTATGGTTTCGGTTTATCTTCTGTTTTGTGAAGTATAATGGGATTTAGGGTTTCTTATGGACATTATTGGGTTGATTTTATGCCAAATAGTTCCCTTCTTGTGTTGAGGCTCTGGATCTGGATCCATAGAGGTCCAGAGAGCCTCACTCATCAAGCTTTATGTATAGGAATGGAGTTTATGACCTTGAGTAGTAGTATTTGAGACAAAAACATCATTTATGGTCATAAAGAGATTGTATGTGCATCAAGATAGTGACTTTACATGCTAAATAAGCTTGGAAGGACTGGATCTATGGGTTAATGGACTGGATCTGACCTTATGAGCAAGTTTGAGTCATTGCATGGCACGGACTTGTTGAGTCCGAAGAACAGACTCGGCGAGTAGTATGAATATTTCCCGACCACACGGTGAGTGGTCTTGCCGAGTTGGGGAGGGTTGACTCAGTGAGTCAGAGGGAAGTCAGAGTGGACAGGTGGACTGAGTCAAGCTGGACTCGCCGAGTTGTTCTTGAGACTCGGCGAGTTGAGTCGTGGTGGCCCCACAACTCATGCCAGGTGGAACTCGTCGAGTTAGGAGAATACTCGACGTGTCAAGGGAGGATTTCAGGGAAATCAGTGTATACGCTCAGACTTGCCGAGTCGCTATAGTGCACTCGCTGAGTCCGGTCAAAGTTGACCGATGACCGTTGACCAACGTTGACCTAAGTTGACTTGTTAAAGAGTAGTCAAACTTAGTTGGGAAAGTGTTAATTAGAGATGTATTGTGATGTAGGAGGACTATAGCTCGGGAGATCGAGCACTAGTGATTTCAGGATTCACGACTTACCGAGACACACGAGGTGAGTCTTCTCACTATACTTTACCTTGAGTAGGTAACCAGAGTTATGTGATAGAGTATTTGTATGCTATGTATGTTATGTGTTGTACTGCATTATTTCTATGTGATTTATGCTGTGCATGTTTACAGAGTTAGAACTTGAGGGTTCACAGAGTTTGGGTGCACGGACCCACAGAGTTATAGCCTCGAGTGGCTAATATGTGTTATATGTGGTATATTGGGGAACTCACTAAGCTTTGTGCTTACAGTGTTTGATGTTATTTGTTTCAGGTACTAGTGACGATCGCGGGAAGGCGCCGGCTTGATCAGTACACACGCATGGGAGTTATGATTTGAGATCTTGGGATTTTGTATTTACTTGAATTAGATAATTAAATGTGGTTGTTTTCTGAATATTAAATGAATTATGTTTTATAAAAATTTGAAAATTTTGTTTTGAAATTCACGATGTTACATGAGTTCATAAGCATTTGAGTATAAAAACTTTGATGATAGTTTAAAAATCCAGAAAATCCAATATTTTCTTATCAAATGGTTGTAATTATTGTT